CCCTTTTACTGAGATGGTTCAAGGCTTTTCATCCCTTTTCTCCACTGCTTGCCTTTCCAGAGAGAGGAAACTGCTGAGAGTTTGATTATCTTCTTGCCGATTTCTCAAGCTCAACCCTTTGCTTCCTGAGTCTGGAATGAGTGTACCACGGGCTAGTGGTGGGTGCTGGGTCAGTGCGTTGGCCGGCAGCCAAGAATGAGAGTTCAGCAGGCAGGGTGTAAGGGAAGTGTTCAAAAGTATAGGTAGGATCTCTGAAGATAGCTCTGCCAGTGGGGGCACCTGCCATGGAAGAGGCCCTGAGACATAATGGGGTGGGGCATGCAGGCACCACCTTGGATCCCGACAAGTGCAGGGAGTGAGGGTGGGAGGCAGATGGGTGGCAGCTTGGGTTGGTCCAGGGATCTGCCTGATCCTCATGGTAGGAAGCCGTTGCTATCGCTATGGTCAATGTCATCAACTGCCAGTGCTTCAGGTTAACTATGAATCCCTTGGGGGGGGGTTTCAGTTTCCCCACTCATAAAGTAGAGGAATTGGACTAGAAGGGCCTCAAAGCTACCTCCAGGTCTGACATCTGAAGACCTTGTCACCGAATGTGAGGAGTGCTTGGAAGGGGGTGGAAGTGCCTCCTTCAGATCATTCAGCTTCCTCTACCCTAAGATGAGGAAGAGGATGGTAACTTCTGTTCGAGAGCAGGGCCTCTGTGAATAGAACCTGCACACCAGGGGCCCCATCACTGAGAAATGCATCTCAACTCTTCTGGGAGGCACCCAAGACCTGTTGAGTCCCTCCTGCACCTTCATGGCTCTGCCTGGGCTGTTCTTCTGCTGATGCCCTGCTGGCCGTCCCTGCTTGGAGATCGCTACCTTCTCTTTAAGGCTCAAGTGCAGCCTTCTCCCTGTAGCTTCTCCTGACCTCTGTGACAGGGACTGCCCATCCACCTGCCAACTCTGGGCTCCTGAGACCCCCTGTGCAGACCTGCATGCAATAAGGCACAGGCTGAACTGGCCAGGTGGTGAGCCCCTGGAGCCTGGGCCTGGCTGTTCTCACCTTGGCGCTCTCTCTAATGTCCAGCCCAGTGCCTGGTACAGAGGACTCTGATTAATATACCTGTGGAAGGAAGAAGGGTCGGGTAGAGGGCCTGTCCTGAGGCTACACTCCCCAGATCCTCCCTCCACCATAGAATTACCCTCGTTGGCAGCCAAAGCTCATATGAAGATGGCCAGAGGTGAGACCAGCATAGCTGGAATTCCGATGTCAATTTGCACCACACTCCTGATGGTGTCAGGAATGCCATTCCCCACCCGCTCCCGCTAGGCAGGCCTGAGTATCTGAGAGATCATGCACTTTACTTGGTGGCTGGCAAAACTGGTGCCCGCCCCAAGTAGCCGGGACACTCAGTACCAGGGTCGTTCTACTTGCAGTTGAGGTAATTAATGCCAGGATGTTGCTCCCTGATTGGCAGCTGGACTGGTCATCAGAAACTGGGGCTGCTCTTGGAAGCAAGCCCACCTCCAGTCCTAGCTCCCGGGTTGCCTGGCTCAGATAAAGGATGGCCTAGCCCAGCCTATCTCCTTAATTCTGGGCTTCTTCAAGGGAAAACTGACCAAGTGAGATAATCCCTCTGGTCTTTGGGGATGGTGATTTAATGGCTCTAGATCAGCATGCAAAACTAAGCCTTCCACACTTCAGCCCCCTTAGGCACAGTTACCCAAACTAAAATTCTTAATAATCAGATTCACCAGGAAGGGTGCAGGAAGATAGATTCTGGGTCTTGAAAACAGAGGCTACTGGGCTATCTCCTCTAGTCTCCCTCCTCCTCTTCCCCTGGCCTGGAAGGTACAGGTGATCCAGCCAGAGCACCCCAAGCACAAAGAGGGGGCTAAGTCCACAAAGGGGGATATTTGGGGACTCAGTTCTTAGGAGATCAAAGCCTAACTCCTCACTGGACAGATGTGGATGCTAAGACCCAGAGAGGGGAAGGAGCTTGCCTAAGGTCACCAGCAAGCAATGAGTAATGGTAAGCAGGATTCTTGTCCAGAATTTTGGACAACAGGTCCTTACCATGGCTCTTAAAAGTGGACTTCAAACAAACCACAGAGCTGACCCCAGGAAGTAGGGGCAGGGTGGGAATAACACAAGACAACATTTACACAGCACTAGCTGGGCTGGAGACATGTAAGCAGGTCACTGTCATCCTCACTGCACGAATGGGAAAACCGAGGCTTAGATGGTGTGACTGGCCAAGGCCACAAAGCCTTGATGGGGAAAGCCAGGTATGAGGTTCATTTACTGCTTTCTCCATTTGTGAGCCATGTCCTCTGAACTACACGCCTATACTGTGAGAACAGAAGCAAGGTGTTGTCCTTCCCTCCAGGGTGGGCCTACTTTTTTTTTTTTTTTTAAAGAGACAGGGTCTTACTGTGACTCAGGCTGGAAAGCAGTGGTGCAATCATAGCTCACTGTGGCCTCGAACTCCTGGCCTGAAGTGTTCCTCCTGCCTCAGACTCTTGAGTAGCTGGGATTAAGAGTGGTTCTACTATGGCATATATCAGGGATGAGACAGGATGATGCGCTTGGTCCTCTGAGATGTACATAAGGTGGCATTAGGGCCTATGTTTATAACTGAGGGAGCATTGCACAGGGGACTAAGAAATGCATTCTGCAGAATATAACTTGAGCAATTACTTCTGTGACCGGTCCCAGGTTCCTCCTGTGCTCTCTCAGTGACACCTCAGCCCTGGTACATCCTGGGTACATCAGTAGGCGGCTATTCCCTTGCAGGCAGGGCTGTGTCAAGAGTCACCACAGGGCCCCAGAGCCAGTCCGGTGCCCCCAGTTCGGGGATCAGCACTTCGAGGAGGAATGACCAGGCTTGGCACCGGGTGCTCTGTCCCATCCTCCTCTGTATATTTCATCAGTCCTTTCATGGAGGTCCTTCTGGGCCAGGAGGAATAAGCTACACTGAGGAACTCAGAGACTGACAGGGAGAGGGACAGAGTGACAACCCGGCATGACTAGTGCCCTGAGAAAGCATGGGGGGGGGGGCAGGCTGGTGACATGTGAGTCCCATTGCTGATGTCACCTGCTTCCTTTGCCTTTTGCAGTCCAGAGGAATGCAATTCACCTTGATGAGGGAAGGTGGAGGTCAGGAAGCCCCGCTCCCAGGCTCCTGGGCTGCGTGGGGCAGTGACTCAAGGCCTGGCCCTGTCAGCACGCTCAGTGGTATGCACGCTGCCCCACCGCTGCCCTCTCCTCAATCCAATTACACTTCTCTGGCTTTGGCAGGCCCCAGTCAAGACTCCCAGCCCAGCTGTAGTTTAGCATATTGAATTTCTTCAGCTGCCACAATTGACCCACTTCTTTAAGCCATCAGGTCTGATGGCAGTGAAGTGCACAGGCACCAGCAGCTCCGAGAACAGCAAGGGTCCTACTTCTTATTTGTCCTGAGTGTCTTCCCAGCTGGCTAGAAATTCCCTCTACATCTTCCCTGGTCAGGTGGTGGTCCAGCCTCTGGTCTTATACCCTCAGTAGCAAAAGGCTCAGTACCTCAAAGAAGCTTGGCTAGCTCTAATTCTTGATCAGCTCTGGCTGTTAGCAAACTTTTTCCCTTACAGAGCTGGAATCTGTCTACCCGTAGTCTGCCCATAGCTTCCCATCTGCACTTCTGCTCCCTCTGCCCTGACAGTCCTTGAGAGATGTGTGGTCTCTGTCACATGTCCACATACCCTCCCTTCACCAGGAGGACTCCCAGAGCCTCTGCATCTTGCCCAGCCTCTGTCCCAGCCTGCTGCCTTCCTGAGCCTGCAGTTTGTCACTGGCCCTCCCTCTCAGGACACAGCTTGGAAGACCAGGTGGGCTCAGTCCTGAGAAGAGAGCACAGGCCAGTCTCACCTACCTTGGCTGCAGTGATACCCCTGTCTACAAGGCTGGCATGTATGCAGGCTCTCTTAACAGCTGCATTCCAACAGGCCCGCTCTCCGTCACACAGCCTCCAATATGGTGGATGGGACAGAGAGAAAGTCAGGCAGAAAACTTCACTGCTTCTAGGGGAACTCAGAGACTGACAGGGAGGGGGACAGAGTGACAACCCAGCAGGACCAGTGCCCTGAGGGAGGTCTGTGTGGGCTGTAGAGCCTCAGTTTATACACAAATTATGTCACTAGGTATCCTTAGCAAATCCCTTCTTTCTCTAGGCCTCATTTTCCTATCTGTAAAATGGATTTAGATAATCTCTTGGGTTCCACCAGCAATAGCACTGAATGATGGGGCACACAACTAAAAAAAAAAATTTTCTTATTTCTGGGCCTGCTCATCCTGACCAGAGTGGTTCATGGATCATAAAAAACTGACAGTTTACAAAGTAGCCACAGGCAATAACACCAGCTTTTCCCAGTATTCCTCCTAACCTTTGTGAGACACATAAAAATCAGACCTACCCTAGCTGAAATCTAGAATGTAAGGAAAAGGTTGTTTTCACAGAGGCAGTGTGGCACTGTGGAGGGTCACCAGGCTGGTCACGAGTCCTGGCCCTGCCACTCAGCCAGCTGCTTGACTTTGGGTCAGCCACATTCCCCTCTGTGAGCCTCAGTTTCCTCATCTGCAAATTGGGAATGATATGTTCTTCACCCAAAGACTGCTGTGAGGTTTGAGAGAGGGATGCAGTATGCTAAGAGCTTCGTACGGTCCCTCGCTCGCAGCAGATGCGAAAGTTATTCTTGGTTAGTTAATATAAATCCTAGAAAGAGGCCCCTCCTCTTCTGGGAAGGCAGCAATGGCACACACAAAAATTCCTGTCTCCTGGGAGAACAGGATCAAACTGAAAAACCAAGGCTTGAAATAACTTGTGCTGGCAAGTTTCTGGGGGGCAGGAGATAGACAGTGAGGAAGTAGGGAGGATTTTGAGGGACACTGGCAGGGCTTTCTGCCACAGATGCAGAGGGTGAGCCATGCTTAGTTGAGGCTGCGGGGGATGGCTGGAGGCGCATGCGAGCTGTACTCACTTCAGGGAGAGGGAGTAGTCATGCTTGCTGGTCTGGCTGTTTCGGACAAGGTAGCTACACTCCTTGCAGAGTCGCAGCAGGTTCTCGGCGTCTCCTCTGCTGATGGCTCCGTGATACCATCTGGGAAAAGGGCAGAGATTGGTCAGAGCCTAGTGTGGATAGGACCACCACAGGTCTGATACCCTAAGGGAAGGCTGGCGCCCTCAGAGGCCTCTGGGCTCTAAGGGAGGCATACCCTGGTTCATTCATTCAGTAGGTATCTACCAACTGCCTGTTGCTGCCAGGTCTTGGGGAGAGAACAGTGAACAAAATTCTATCTCCTTCCATAGGAAGCCTACACTTTTGTGCAGGGAGCCAGGCTGCTCCAGCAATCATAGAGCCTACGGTGTGGTGACAGGAGCTACCACATGAAATGGTGCAGGGTCATGTGGCTAGGGCCCGATGGTGGGTGGATTAGTATTTCAGGCCAGATGGCCAGGGAAGGCCTCTGGAAGGTGACTTGCAGGAGGCAAGGTAGACAGAGGGTGGCAAAGGAAGGCCCAAATCAGGAGGCCACCTGGTGTGTTCTGTAAACAGCCAGAGGCCAGCATGAGGAAGGAAGGGGTAGGAGTGGGCAACAGGTTTCAAGGTGGGGCTGGGCTCAGGGACCTTTCTCGGAGCCATTACAAGGTAATGATAGAAAGGCCATGCTCTGACTCAGTGACATGTACAGGTAAGTGAATGGTGGGCCTAGGGTGGCCACACACTCCTGCCACTGGTTGGGCATGTAGGAATCCCAGTGTTGCCATTTCTAGACATCACACATAATGGAGGTGGGCGGAGGAATCTGAAGGAACGGGGCACAGTATAGAAGGTTTGACTAACCTCCCATCTGCCGTCACAGGGGGAAAAGGGGAACACTGATTTTCATGACTGGAAATGCTGAAGGTTCAATATTAGCAGAAGAGGAAAGGTCCTCACTGACTGTAAGTGGGCATACTCAAAACACATTTCCGTTGATGTGATGGTGTCTGAGGGGCAGGGGTGGTGGAAGGAGTGAGATTCACAGCCAGAAGGAAAAGCAGACATGCCAGGGGAGCAGTGGCGTGGATGCCACCCCAAATGCTCTGGCTCATCCCAAATGGTGGCTCTGCCACTCATGAGGACAAACCATTAACCTGACTGAGCCTCAGCTTGCTGTGCAGTGATAGTGAGGGTTACATCAGTCCCTCCTGATGTTGTGAGGATGAAACAAGGGAACCCATAGGAAGGTCTCTGGCAGAGCCTGGTGTAGGATGAGTCTCATCAATGACAGCTGCGAGCACCAGCAGAAAGACACTGTCCTCACAGGTCGTGCAGGTAACAACCCACCTATGAGGACTGTGGACTCCTGCCTGTTCAGAGGTGGCATTTTAAATTTTCGGTGTGAGTAGGGGTGCCTCCTGATGCCTGCCTCAGAGGGCCTGCAAAGGTGCCTCTGAGAGTTCTATCACTGACATTTGGCTTGGAGAAAACTTGTTGTCTGGTCCCTGCACTTCTTGTCATTTATGAGGCTGTGCTCTCCACAGCAGCCATGGCTGTGACGAAGTTATGATCCTACCAAAAAAAAAAAATCAAGTTTAGAAAGTCAAGAACTGGAGAGTAGATGTGGCTGCCCCTATCCAATGGAATGTGTCTGAGCCGCTGACCATTCAGGAGGCCACGGAGCTGGACATCTGGAGCAGGGACACCCCAAGGGAGGAGGTGGGTGGGGGTCGTGTTGACCACAGGCCGCCTTCCCTTCTAAAGTTAGAAATAAACATAAGGAGGAACGTGAAAGATGCACGAGCTGCCAAAATTAAAACATTTCCAGAGACACAAAGGCCCATGTTATGCCTTAGAAAGAAGGCATGGCTGGCAGAGACAGGAGACACAGACAAAGACGGCACTGACTTCAGAAATAAGAGTTAACAGAGTTGGTAAGACTGTCCTCCGGGAGACTTTGCTGTGCAAACACCAACACCCCCCCCATGAGATGACAAGAACATTTTAATAGGAAAATAAATCCTAGCCATTTGAAGTTTGCCCTCAAGGAAAGGCCTGGAAGCCGTCTCTCGGGATGCACAGCCTGCCATCCCCCCCTCCCTGAGCTCAGGAGCAGCCCTGCTCAGGGAGAGGCAGAGGCAGACAGACCTCAGGGGCCTCAGGACCCTGTTTAAGGGTAATCCCTGGTGGTAAACAGGATAAGCCTCTGGTTCCTTCCCTGGCTGCTCCACATAGAGAAACGCAGGGGCTCAGTATCGAGATCAAAGGGAAGACGGGGCAAAGGGCACTGGAACGGGGGAGCTGGGCCAGTGCTAGCCAGTCTGTTGGTGGGAGGCTGCAGACCAGGAGTCAGGTTGGGCTTGGGTGGTCCCGTGGGGGTCTGAGCAGCCCTTGCCTGGACTGAAAAGAGAATCTAGGCAGGAAGCCACTGTGGGGATGTGCTGGGCTTTGTGGGGCTGGCCAATCAGGTCAGAACCAGGGGGATTAGGGAGATTCAGCCTTAGTAGCTCATCCCAGCCAGTGCCCATTAACTCATCCAATATTTACTCACCCTCTACATCCTTGATGTCCTGGGGCTCATGCAGGGAGAGGGAGAGTCAACAGATAAGATACAGGAAATAATTTCAGATAGCAACAAGTGCTATGTACCAATACTCTGATAAGGCAGTGACTGGGGTGAGGGGAGGAGATCGCTTGGGATTGAATGGTCGAGGGAGGCCCCGAGGACATGACCTGTGACCCAAGAACCTGACTCATGAAAAGGATCCAATCACACGAAGAGTCAAAGAAAACACCTCTGCAGAGGGAGCAGCAAGTACAGACATCCTGAGATAGGAAAGAGCTTGGGGTGGCCACAGAGCAGAAAATGGCAAGAATGGCCCAGGCACTGGGATCAGAGGGCGTGGGCGGATGAGGTGGGGCGGGAGGCAGGGCTGGTTACCTGAAGCCCCGAGATTTCATCTGAAGCAAACCCAAGTTTTAAGAGATGTTACTTGCCTTGGACGATCTTACAGAAGATCAGCCATGCTGCCCTGAGGAGGGGTCAGAGGGGATGGGGGAGACAAGTCAGGAGGAGAACACAGTGGTTCAGATGGGAGGCAGCCATGGAGATAAGGAAGGGATGGCTCCTGGCGTATTCTGGAGGGAAAGCTTCAGAACTTGGTGATGCCATGGATGCTGGTGTAAGGTGAAACAAAGGTGTCAAGATGGCCCCAGACTTGTGCCGAAGCCATCGTCAGACAGACATGATGTCATTTATAGAGAAGTGGAAGCTGGGGGAGGAGTACAATTCGGAGCAACCAGGAGACCAGTTTTGAATACGTTAATTTGGCAGTGCCCTCTAGCCAGCTAAGTGGAGGTGCCAGGAGGGCAGCTGGATGTAGGAGGAGGGAGCTCTGGGAGACGCGTGGGCTAGGGTTACGCACCTGTGAGTCATCAACAGGATCCTGGGAGAGATGACCCAGGGAGGGCATGTCATCGTAAATTGAACCCTGGAAAGTCCAACCTTCACGCCAAGCAGAGGCGAGGAGCCAGCAGAAAAGACAGAAAGGTAGCAGAGAGGCAGGAAAAAAAATCAGGAGTAGAGAAAGTTCCACAAAGAGAAAGTGGTCAACTCCACTGACTGCCATGGAGGACAAAGAAGGCCATCCAGAGAGCCGGCAAGGGAAACTGGTCATGGTGGGGGAGAGAGAATAGGAGATGACAGAGGGGCAAGAAGTGCTGACAGCTTTTTGGAAACTTTGTTCATTCATCCTTAGCTACTTATTGAGCAACGATTATGTGCTGGCACCATTGTGGGCACTGGGGATGCAGTGGTGAGCTAGACAAGCTCCTGCCTTCATGCAGCCTGTTTTTAACAAGGGCACTACAGGATGTTGGGGCAAGGTTATTTTACTTACTTTGACAAAGTCTGTGCCTAGAACATGCTTATTTGCTGATGGTGATGACGTAGGAAGAAGGGGATGGTGGGCTGCCTCCAGGAGGCGGCGGGAAGGCTGGTGGTATGGGCACTGAGGCAGACGTGTGCCTGCCAATCCTCAGCCACCCCATGCAACCTACTGCATACCCTTAGTCACCTCCTCTTGCCTTCCCCTGAACCAGGGCAGAGGAGAGTTCAGACTTGAAGGGGACTCCAACCAGGTGGGGAATTAGGTGATCCTCTCCACCTGGGTCATCAGGCTCTACTCGAAGTGGGATTTACCTAAGTACACCTCTTGGGTGATGAGTCAGGGCTCTGGAAGGCCAGAGTAATCCTGGGGAGATGAGACGATGGCAAGGAAAAGCCAGTCATGACTCTGGACTTGGCCAGAGGTCCTGTCAGGTGGGAACAGGAGAGGAAAGGGAGTCCAACCCCTGCCTGGGACTAAGGCTCAGTCTGGAGGCAGGAGAGAGTAGGTGGGCCCTGGCTGAGCTGGCCACTGCAAATCAGGATGCAGGATAAACAGCACCCAGGTGTCTTTAGCTCATAATTTGTTTGCTGATTAAAAGTTTGGGCAACGCTTTCGGGTCCTCTCCCACTGCGGGAGCTTTTCTGTCCTCTCAATAAATCCTGCTTTCTAAAAAAATAAAATAAAATAAGTAAGTGCATAGTTTGATCAGAAATAAGCGGAACCTGCCACTCAGTCTGCATGGCTGTGAGGAATGATGAATGCTGGCTGGGAATGCCTCCCCACGTACCGCAGTGTCTCGAGATGATGGCAAACGCTGAAGAAGTCGGCACATGACATCACTCGGAAAACCCTGCATCCTGCTTCCCAAGCAAGCATTTCCTGTAAGGGGAGGCACAGCTGGGTGTGCTGAGACCAGCACCCCCTGGGTGAGACTAATATAGCACATGATACACTTAAGAAGGGCTCACCAGCCATGCCTGGTGTCAGAAAATCTCCTGGCCTCAGCAAGCACCTATGCTGTGCCAGGCATGTGTCAAGGGTGGGATGAGCAAAGGGTGAGAGGAGGGGTCTGGGTCATGAGGTGTGGTGTGTCCTGTGTTGGGAGTCCTGGTCAAGGCTCAGCATGTCTCTGGCCCTGATGTTCTCCTTTATGCAAAAGGATAAGAACCCCATTTATTGCATGTTTCCTTGTTAAGTGGATGATGCACCTGAGGGTCACAGCATGAAGTCTCACACCTGCTTCATCAAGTTCCTGGAGAAGCTCACACTAGTCCAGGTACATGGCATGATTACAGAAAAGCAGTTTGGGGGCAATTCACAAAGTGACTGGCAGGTTTGGGAGGTGGGACTTTATCCTGGATGTATAGGAGAGTCACTGAAGGTTTCAGAGTACTGCAGGGACCTGCACAGGGAGGACCTGGCAGAGCAGGGAGAAGATAACTGTGGCCAAGGGGAGGGATGGTAAATGGCCTTGGAAAGTGCTGGGGACAGCAAGAAGGGAAAGGGGTGTGAGACCTTGGGGGCAGCATGGATGGGACATGGCCACTGACTGGAGGTGGCAAAACTCTGGGCAATGGGGCTGAGAAAACTGAAATCAAGAGTGTAAAGGCAGCTGGGCGTGATGGCTCATGCTGTAATCCTTTGGAAGGCCGAGGTTGGAGAACTATTTGAGCCTAGGAATTCCAGATCAGCCTGGGCAACATAGTGAGACCTTGTCTCTACAAAAAAAAAAAATTAGTTGGGTGTGGTAGTGCACACCTGTAGTCCCCAGCTACTAGGGAGGCTGAGGAGGAAGGATCACCTGAGCCCACCATGCTCTAGCCTGGGTGACAGAGTGAGATCCTGACTCAAAAATAAAAAATAAAACCAAGAGTATGCAGCCTTGCCCAACTGATAGCAAGCAGATGTGGAGCAGGAACAGCACTGTAGCTAGAAAATAAATCTAATTTACACTTAGTTTTACACTTAGGGGATAGGATTTAGTTTATACTAGCTTTTCCAAGAGCTCATTTGCTGCATGATAAAATTAGAAACTGGGATGTAAAAATAAGGGGGGAACCGTACAGACGAGCTTGCAATCCCTCCTCCCAGCCATGGCAGGTAAGGGTGGTGAGAACAAGCTTGGGCTGGGGGCCAGAAGACGTGCCTTCTAGCCCTGGATCTGCCACAGACTTGGCAGTGGCTTCGACCTTCCATGACCCTCAACCTGCCCATGTGTACATGGAGGGAAGGAGGGAGCAGAACAAATGGTCCCTGGGGCCCTGCACACTCTTAGTCTGTGGATTACTAAAAGGAGATAAAGAAACAAGGAGAGAGCGGGGACCAGGGAACCGAGAGGGAAGGTTGGGCCTTGCTGCCCCAGAACTTACATCTGTTTCTCCAGGGGAACAGCAGGATCCACTCTTTCTCCCAGGATCCCACAGAACTCGGGGCTCCCGTGTTTGATGGGCTTGAAGCCCCCTCCAGGTGCACGAAGCTGTCGCCGCCGGTCCCGCGAAGGTGAGGGGGATGACTGCCGCTTCTCGTTGCCATTGAACTGGGCTGTAGGGAGAGATAGGGTGCACAGTTACCCAGAGCTCAGCCCAGGGAGTCATGGGTGATGTACAAGGGGTGATGTTCAACTGCTCTAGTTGGCACTTTACAGTTGGCAGGAGGAAGAGTTTCAAAAGCTCCAAAGATCCTGGCTTCCAAAGACAGGACACCCAGGTGCTGTCAAAGTCTGGCTGGTGGCGTGTTGAGGGGCTAGCTGAGTCTCCAGAGGCCACTGCACTCAGTCTCATCTCCACAGGAGCCTCTCTGCAACCTCAAGCAGAGGGCCAGGAGACGTGCCTTCTGGGGATGGGGGAGCGGGCGCCGTCCTCTGGACAGTTCTTGGGGAGAAAGCTCTTCCTTAGATTGTGCCAAAACCCTGCCTCCAGGTGGCTGCCCTCCTCCCATCCCACCTACAGCCACACTGGCCACATCTATCCCCTTCTCCTGGGATATCCCTATGGAGCTCCACTTAGGGGTCCTACCGTACCCCTAAGTCTGCTCCTCCTTATTCAGATTCCCTGCATGGACCCAGTACCCAAGCAACGCTGGAACAGTGTACAGCACAGGACCGGCCTTCCCACCTGTTTTCCTCCTGGCCCTGGGCCTGTGGGAACCTCATTTACCCCCATGGGCTTGGGGGGGGGGGATGTCCCTTGAGGGCAGGACCTTGGAGACACCCCATAAAGAGCAGAAAACACTGAGCTAAAACTGGACTTGCCAGAGGGCTCCTGGAGATCAGGCAGTCTACCTTGCAAGTTATCTCTCTGGGCTTCAGTTTTCTTCTCTGAAAAATATGAGTAATGAGCACCTACCTCTTGGGGATTAAATCAGGTGATGCACAGAGATCTTAGCAGTGTCTGGCATGCAGTTCACGCTCAATGTTATTATATATATTTACTTTTATTATTATCACGTCTGTTCAATGTACAGTACTAGGCACTTCACATAAGCTACTGAACTGATGGGAGTCACCCTCCTAAGTCTGCTGGTGACTAGCTGTGAGTCTTGGCTAAGTTATTCAACCTCTCTGAGTTTCCCATTCCCAACTCACCAGACTGTGGTGAAGGTCAGATGGGAACATACACCTCTGGGCCCAGTACAGAGGGTGCCTAGTAAACCTGGCCAGGGCCTGCAGAACAAGGTGTCTGAAACAGTCCAGCTGTAGGCTTGCAAACACACGTCCTCAGCTGAGCCACACAAAGGCAGAAACCTCTCCTCTTAACCAGCATGTATGGATGAGGTGAACCATTCCTTAACCCTGGCCACATGGCAATCAACCCTCACACTCTTGAAAGAGGGTGGGGAACCCCAGCCCTAATAAGAAAAATGTGCTGTCTACTGGTACCAAAGAACGTGGATAAACCAGTTTTGCATCTCAGCCACTGAGCAATCTCCTCCATCAGGGACTGCAGGGCCATTTCTGTCCAAGATGCTCTTTCCTATTAACAGCTATGGAAAACAGCAGGAAGAAAGGCTCTAGCCAACAGATGACTCCAGACACACTGGACCCCAACCACTTTCAGGACTGTGCTGAACATGGGTCCACTCACCTATGCTACTTCTAAGCACGCATCCACATGTGCCAGGCAAAATTCAAGGCCAGGGAAATAACAGTGAGCATAACAGATAAAAATCCCCACCTTATAAAGTTCAGAGGCCTGCATAGGAAAGAGAGGCAATAAATCAGTCACTGTATCAATGGCTGTGACAAGTGCTAAGGAGAAAAGTACGTCAGGGCAGGGAAGGTCTCTTGAAAGGTGATATCTGAAAAAGTACTCAGGGAAGGGAAGGATATCAGCGGGAAGGTCATTCCAGGCACTAGCAAGAGCAGGCTTGAGGACCCTGAGGTGGGGCTATGCCGATTGGGAAACCAAACAGGCCAGGGTTACCGGAGGGGAGGGGGGACTCTGGCTTTATTCTGAGACGTGGAGAGATGCTTTGACCAGGCACTTTTTAACAGGGATTACTGTGCTTAAGATAGATGGAGACAAGGGATATGTGGGAAAACTCTGGACATTCTGTCCAGTTTTGCTGTGAACCTAACACTGCTCTAAAAAATAAAGTTTACTATGAAAACAGAGGCAAAGAGAGCGCATGCACACCGGGAGGCAGTGACAGCCAGTGGTGAGATTCAGCTACATTCTGTCCATGTACTCAAAGTGCAGCATGAGAGAGAGGACCAAGGATGACGATGGGCATTCAGCCTGAGCCCTGGAAGGATGGGGCTGGTGTCTTCTAAGAGGGGAAGATTCACCAAAGACCCTAATCAAACTTTGTGAGAAAGCAGAATGGAGGGCAAGCCCCAACCCAGAGATGTCCACAGTCCCGTGATGCCAGGGCTGGCAGTGTCAAGAGGGGGTGGAGTGAGGACTTGCTGGGGCCTCCTGACCTCCTTTCTGGCCACAGAGTGACCTGTGTCCAACCACACACAGACAGCAACGACCTCAAGGCCCTCCCAGGCGATAGGTCTTGGAGGTGGAGTGTGAGAAAGCCCTTCCCCATCAGTTGATGAGAGGGTCTTTCTCGATGGTGGGCTAATAGAGCTGGGTCCCTGGCACACACATCACCGCCATGAGCATCCCAGCAGCCTGGATCTCCCACAGTCTGGGCATCACAGCAAGACCCCATCTCTGTAAAATATATTTTAAACAATTAGCTGGGTGTGGTGATGCATGCCTGTAGTCCCAGGGTTCTTGCTGAATGACCACAGCAACCAGTCATGGGCTATAGGATCCTGGGAGGGGGTCTGGGGGAAGGAGAGAAAGAGGTGGAGCAGATTCTGACCTGAGCACCTACCTTGCAGAGCCCTCGGGAGGTGACCTTGGGCAGGGTTGAGCCCTGGGGCCAGATGGACGAACAGGGGCCAGCTCACAGAGTCTCTTTCTAAAGAGCTTGGACTTGATCCTATGGAGGGGGACAATCAGAGAATGGGTTGTAGAGACCTCCCTGACTGCTAGTGGAGGCTGGGAGGGATGCAGGAGGTGAGTCCAGGAGTTTCTGACTACCGTGGGGGTGAGTCAGGGAGGACTGCTGCATGATGTTCAGATTTCTGGCTTGGAGAAGGTGATGGCCCCACTGAGATGGGCACAGACAGAGAAGGGGCCAGGGGCATGGGGCCAGTGTGTACTTTTCCTCGCTGCTTCCCTGCTGCTAATTTTCCAGTTGTCAGGAGCAGAGAGGAAGTGGCAGGCATTCTGGCCCTGTGAGGCTAACAGTACTGACGGGCAGTAGAGGGGCCTGGCATGGGAAGGGGCTAGGCTGGAAACAGTTCCAGACTTAGTTTTGCCACAGGCTTAGGAGAGGGAGGGACCAGATGAGTTGTAAGTTGCTTTTACCCATGACATCCTGAAGTTCCATGGGCTAAAATCAGGATTTGAGGATTTCTGCCAATATAAAATCCCACAACAGACCTTCTGCTATAGAAGGTGAACAGAGAGGTATAGTTCAGAGAACACAGACTGAAACGCTGGGCACAGTGGCCCATGTCTATAATCCCAGCATTTTGGGAGGCCAAGTCGGGAGGATTGCTTGAGTCTAGGAGTTCGAGACAGCCTGGGCAACATGGCAAGAGGTGGCACATGTCTACAGTACCAGATACTTCGGAGGCTGAGGCAGGAGGACAGTTGAGCCCAGGAGGTTGAAGTTACAGTGAGCTATGATTGTGCCACTGAACTCCAGCCAGGGCAACAAAGCGGAACGCTGTAAACAAAACAAAACAAAACAAAACAAAACAAATCAAGGCCAGGCATGGTGGCTCATGCCCATAATCCCAGCACTTTGGGAGGTCTAGGTGGAAGGATGGCTTGAGGCCAGGAGTTCAAGACCAGTCTAGGCATCATAGCAAGACCCCATCTCTGTAAAATATATTTTAAACAGTTAGCTGGGTGTGGTGATGTGAAGGAGCTCATTCTAACCCACCTGTAAAGAAACGGAGAAATGCAATGTAAGTTAATGCTAGCCTTAAAAAAAAAAAAATAATTTTGTGACCTTTCTCTGGCAACCAAGGGAATGAATAGGCTGTTCTCATTTTCAAATGCTAAAAGCCAGGTTAATTGAAACTAAACCCGTTTCTGAAGGTTTAGGTCTTGCCTAAAATCGTAATCCACTGCTTGTCCCTGTAAAACTATTACGAAGTCTCTCAGAGTCTTGTAATGTATGAGTCTCTACTTTATACTGTAATGCTAAATAACACTAATGCTTGCGTTTTTTGGCTATGCTCATTTAATTGTCCACATCTTACGACTAAGGCTGCTGTTTAGTAATTCATGAGAATTTTTAACAATTTTGCCTGTTTAGAAATAAATAGGAACAGATCATTTTACATCTTCGTGGTCTGTTCACTCTAAAAAAAAAAAAAAAGGAGAAGAACTCCAAAATGAGCACCAGCCAGAGGAAAAGTAAACAAATTGGCAGTTGCCACTAAAGGCAAAAGCTCCAACCACCCAAAAAAAGGTCCGATAAAGATAAACCTGCTAAGGAGATGGTGCGGCCCCTCCTAAAGGGGAGGGGAAACACCTAGCTCAGCGATAGTGACTGTTGACTGAAGGGGGAGGGGCACGGCCCACTGCAGCACTCTGTATGCCATCCACTCAGAGAATCCTTGGGTCTATATAAATGTGGCTGGGGTCCAAATTAATTTCTTAATTAATACTAAGGCTAAGTTTTTAGCCCTTGTAATCATACTGAATTTCTTCCTCCTAAAACCTGCTCTCTAGTGGAATTAAAGGTGTTCCAAAAACTAAATGTCTCACCTAACAATTACTAAAAGGTAAATTCAAATTATGACTGTAAAAGGTTATCTATAAATAAACAAATAAAAATAAAATGGTATAAGCACACCAAAATGGTATAAGGAAAGTTAAAGAAAAATATACATACAAAAGAAGTTCTATAAACAATCTAGGCATAATAAAGTCTTTTCTGAATGCAAGTCTCCAAACATTTCGGATTTCTCTTCAAATTTTATATAGAATTTACTTAAGTGCCTAGTTCAAATTATAGTCTAAAAC